ATGGAGAATTTTTCTAACTTATTTCTTTGTTACAGAATTGAAATTCACTCCAGGTATGTAGTTTTGATAAAGGTAAATCTCATTTTCTCAAAAGTGATAAAAGTGGACATTTCTCCTTGCTAATAGCCCTTCTTTTCGTGATCTCATAATATTGATCCATCTGTTCGCTCGACTGGCGTCGAAAGCTGGCAGCTTGTCTGGCGTCTTTTTCTGGCAGCTGGACGCCATGGCATCCTAGTGCGATACCGCCCTAAGGGTATGATGGCTGTCTTCTGGTGTATTCCGCCGTGAAATATGGTAGAGTTCTACAGACGTTTCAGAAGTGCTTGTTACTTTCATTATCAAGGCAATGGCTCACTTATTACTCCGATGATGGAGACAGCAAGAAATTCTGAAACGCCTACAAACTTCTACCAGAATACACGGCGCAAGAACCCAAACGACAAACATCTTCGGAGCTTTTACATGTTTAAAAATAGTTTACTGAGGACAATATTTAGACCTACGCAAGATGGAGTTAGGGGAGCACGGGGAAATCTGCAAGCTGAAGAGTGTATAATGTATACTATTCACCAAATATTATTGGGGTGATAAATATGAGAGTAGGGGCTCGTATTACAAACTCGCGGGAGATAAAAACCGCGCACAAAGTGTTCGGTTAGAAACCCTACAGCGAATACACCACTTGCGAGTCATAGACGAAGATGGAAATAAATATTAAACTGGATCGAAAGGAAATCTAGTTCAAAGTTGAGGAACGGATTGTTTCATGTGGCTCAGAACAGGTATTAGTCGCGGGCGCTTCTTAACATCGTAATGTGGAACTCTTATAGCTTAGAGACTATCAGCTTCTCAAGAAGGCATCTGTTTCATGTAATTATGTCAGTGAAGTACAAATAATACTACAATATTACGAGGGTGTGATTCAAAGCAGATTATTATGATATCGATTCTTGAATACCAAATTCGATAGTTGGCACAAATTATAACATATAAATAATTTGTCTGCTAAAACTCAGATTTAAATATTTTTTGTATATTTTCATTTCAATTCGAATTAATTTCCAACCGAAGAGTATGTTAATATAAACAGGAACCCCCTCTTCGAAAGAACATCACTGCGATCGAAAGCCACCGAACTCTGTAGAGTAGACCAGCTCATTGAACTTGTTCATTATCATTCAGTGCATAGAGAAGGCTGTCAAACTCCACTTTCGATGTTACTTCAGTAGTCTGGATGAAAGTGTTCATATCGACTTCAATAATCAAAGCGTTTCAAGGCCATGAACTTGAAACGAGGGGTCGCAGAGTCACGTTACGTTAAATCATATGGTGCTGTTACTATCACATAAAAGATATATCATACGCGTTTCCTTTAATTCTCTAAAGAGCCGTAACGTTTTTATTATTATTTTAGTATACTTATAGTACCAACACCTTTTTCGATATTGATCTATACAACGCAGCAAAACACTCCTTTTCGCGTTAACGCCCAAAAGTGATTCACCTAAATAGCACAATTTCTCTTCCGTATGTCTTATAGTCGGCGTATTAGTTTTTGACTGATGGAGAAGCTATCGGAGCTGGCGGACGGGCCTAGTATGTGTACCTGAGATGGCACGGTTAGTGTATTTCTTTTGTTTGGGCGTTCAGTTCGATAAGCTCCTCGGCGCAGTCAGCATTATACTATCGCACAAATGACTCGCTCCCAGCCTTCACTTTGAAAATTCCACCAGCCAAAAACTACTGCGCCGACTATACGGCAA